CGCAAAATTTTGCGAACGGAGCCGTTCATGACCCGGATTGGTCGGGAACAGAAGCATTCGTGAACCGAGGTACCACTGTATTTGGCAACCTCATTTACAATGAGGATAAAAGATTGGGCTAATAGGTGATGGAAAATACTTAGAATCGTGGAGAGCCACCACCCGTAACAGGAAATAATATTAGGCTAAATTAAGGTTCTTTTATTCCGTTGGATACTGGAGACATCTAATTCCAGACTGAAGTTTTGTTGTTGCTGTTCTAACATTGGGACTGGAGGGTTTTTTTTGTTTTTTTTAATGTTTCTTACTGAAACTAGGTGGCTCTTTACCCCCAGACATGAAAAAACAGCTATAAAAAATAAAGTGTTTAAGCTGGAAAGAGAAGTCTTGAAAGGAACCCTTACATTACTCACCATATTAGGTACCTTAAGCAGCCCTGTGAGAGGAAATGCTTTTACACTGAGGTTTGTTTGCAAAGGGAATGTGCTTCCATGATGGGTTATTCATAGGGATTTTTTCCCCCATTAGATACAGAAAATGCCTTGCTTTTCTAGGTGTCTGTTGCATGTTAAAAGGAAACTTCAGTTAAAACTGCTTGTTAAACTATTGGAGAAATTGTCTCATTTCTGCTTCACCTCTTGTTTTGATGAAAAGATTCTTCAATAGTGTCAAACAATTAGATTTGCATTCTGAAGTTTAGATTTCATACAATTTCCTACTTCCTGTCTCCTGAAATTCTGTTCTTTCTGCCTATAGTCCTGATGTGGGACAGACTAATAACACCTAACCTTGTACTTTTTTGTTAATTTGGACTTGCACATATATTTGATTTGATAAATAGGGATAACTAAATGCACTCCTGGTGTGAGTCATCGGCACTTCTGTTGTGTTCATTTGAAATACTGATTTTCCAGTCTCCTGTTTTGTCCTAATACTTCTGAACCACAGGTAGCACACTAAAAAGTGAAATACAGTGGTGCATATCATGATCAGTCATGGTTTGATTAACAAGTCACAGTTCTCTGGGCATAAAGAACTGTTTTATAAATTACAATGGCTGGGTTTATACACCATGCTAAACCAAAGCCAAACAGGCTACATTAAGGCATAGTGCTGTATTTGAAACCAGCCAGTGTTTCTTCCCTGTCTTTGACTTGTTGTCCTGTTAGCTTTTCATACAACTATTTTATTCCACTTTATCTGTTTGCAAGGAAGGTCATAATTAACCCAAAGCAGCATTTTGTCCAGTATGTTGTCTCCCGTAAAGACTAATTAAATGACCCTACGCAGCATATTCAAAGGATAAGAAAGCAATGCCTTTGTGTTAGCTTTGCTTACAAACAGTTGGCGCACAGTTGAATATTGCCTCTGAACATAAAGATTTCATTTAGTCATCATGGCTAATATTTATTATTGGAGACATCCAATGTGGGTTTGTTTTAAAGTCAGCGGTCTTTGCTGTAATTTGCAGCATGTTCTGCTAATATTGTATTCACCAAATATTACAAAAATTGCCCTTAATGAATGCCTCTTTTCATAGCTTTTTATAACCACTAATAACCCTGTGTAATTTGAAAACTATTTTTCACTATTCTCCATGGTGGGAAGTCTTAAGCCAATGCTGTTCCTTTTATGGGACTCTCCCATATCTGACTCTTCACCTAATAACTTTTCTGCTTCTCATAGTCTCAGATACCTAATCCTACAATTAAATAGGGAAATTGATGCTTTATTATACAACATGTATCAAGCGGAATCTTTGACCCAAAGGATTCCTCGGTTTCTTCATTTTCTCTCTCTCTCTCTCTCTCTCTTTTTTAAAAGCAGATAAGAACCCTGGCCTGTTCTTTTACCTTTGGTTTTTTAAAAATTTCCACACTGAAAAGTTCTTAACTGTCTGAGATTCAATTTTTTTTAACTACTATTTTTTATCTAGAAATAAGACCCACCTTCTTTTGCAAAGAATGCTCTGTAATTAATTGGCAGTAAAGATTGCATTTTAATTGTGATGAACACAACTAGTCTTCTTTAATCTTGGGAGCTATTTTTATTTCTCTAGGCACAGACAGTTGGCTGGTGCTTTTACCTTATTAGAGAGCCCCCCCCCCCATCCTTCCTCCAGGGGCAAGTATAGTCCTACCTGTTCCCAGTGAATCACACTTTTACTAGTACAGCTGATGCTTCCAGCAGATTCCACCAATAATCAGATGTTCCTCTAGGCTTTTACCTGCTGCTAGATTAACCCTCCAAAGTGGTCTGAATTTCTGTTAAGAGCTGTGTGTCTCTTTCTCAGATCAACTTCAGAGGAAATTGATTCCTCCTTCACAGAGATTTCTCAGATCTAATTATTTAGATTCTGTATTCATTCTGAAGCCATTCGGTCCTTGTCTCCTTGATGATGGGAGTGCTGTGCTTCCTGCAGGGCTCCTTCCTGACCATGTTCCTGCACATCTCTGCCATCAGCACACTTGAGCAGCACAGAGGATTGTCTTAGCTGGAGCTTTCTTCTGAAGGGCTTTTTATCCAGTGCCTCAGTTTATAGGACAGCCAATGCTGCCCTTCACCACAAGGGAGGTAGATGTCATTTCTGAAGGGAAAGCATCTGTAAAAGCTCCATGTGTCTTTTTTGTATTGTTTTGTTTAGATTATTCCATGTTTCCTATGTCTAATTCAGTTATATATTCAGTCTAGCACTGGCAAAGAAAAAACACCCATCCAGTCTGGCCCATTTTTGATATTGAAGACAGGCCAATCACTACTGACTGCTAGATGAAGTTCAAGACAGGATGCAGGTAGAACCCCTGGTTCTGCTAGAAACAAGAATAAATCTATCCTTCGCACATCTCCTTGGTTTTTTAAATCAGGAGTAGCAGTGGAAACTGGACAGCAGAATAGCAGAATGTGTGGGCTTGAGAGACAGGGCAGTACCACAGAAGAGTTCATTTGGGGGATCTTTAGAGTTAACCTTAGCAGGAGGTTAAGCACAATAGAATGTCAATAATGCCTGCACAGAGCTTTCAGCACCCAAAATCTGCTAATTGGCTAATTAAAAAGTAAAGCTTGTTGAATGAGCAAACATCTCACCCACAGGAGGTTTGTCCTGTAGCTGGAGAGAGGTCAAACTTGCATTAATCTTGTTTTGTGAAACTTGCCTTCACTGTAAACACAGTGGGTCATGGAGGCCCAGGAGCTGGAAAGGTGATTTTGCATTGTTTCTCTTATTGCAGAGGCAAAGGTAAATTGGATCTTACTCTATGCTTTTCATATTGGGGGAGGGGGGGGGTCTTTTATGTGCAGACAAAAGTTTTTAATTCCTTTTGTCCCCTCTGCCCTGGCTTGTAAATACATCTGCATTTTTAGGATAAATTGTCCATAGTTACTGTCAGAGCTCTGAGTGACTTATGCAGGCAAGGTGCAGTTAAGGGTAGCCAGAGCACAAACATATACCTGTACTGAAGTCTGAAACTATTTCACCGTGGATATTTCCTTGGTTTGCTTATTCATTCTTTGCTTATTGGTTCTTTTTTCTTTCCAACCCAACAGAACGTTGGAAAGAAATTATGTAAAGGAACTTCAAATTCCATTTGTTAGTAGCATAACCCTCCCCCAAACTTATGAGACTGAATTGAGTGTTAAGAAGCGAGCAAAAAAGTCGCTGGAAAACTGGAGCACGAAAACGTCCTGCTTGTGGGTCCCCAGTGAGATATGATTGGCCATAGTGAGAACAGATTGCAGAACTAATGGTTCTTTGAACATATCCAGCAGTGCTATTCTGTTCATAATGTTTCTCTATTTTGCCTATTTACATACTGTATTTCAGTTGTGTTTAGTCAGTATTTTAGTTTGAAAAATAATACAATTAGTAAAATCAAAGCAGTGAGCAAAATAAACCCATCCTATTAATAATTTTTTTTTAAAAAAAACCTAGCTGTTAAAGTAGATTCCGGCACAGAGGTTGTACCACAAAGTCTGGTAGAATAAAATCCCCCCAGCACAGAAAAGCTCGAGCAATAATATCAAGCGAGCCTCCCTAAAGAGGTGATTCTGGAAGTGGGGTGCCACAAATGAAACAGCCCTGCTCTCAGTCACCAACCAACTCATCTCAGATGACAAGAAAACATGTAGGGGAGCCTTAGCATGTGCAAAAAGTGATACAAGAAGTAGCATTCTTTCAGTTTAAAGACATTTAATGCTGAAGAGATCTTCTGCCACAATTGTGACTTATGATGTTATATTCTCAGATTGTAGACACCTTCTTCATTGGTCGCTTCATCCTGCTCTCCATTTTAAGCGTGGTTTTCCTGGGATGCTTGTTTTTGCTTCTGACTCACCACCTTCTGCAACCTGTGTACGCCAAACCAATGAGATCCAGCACCTAAAATAATTGGCTGCTACTCTTTGATGGTACTTGGCCATAAGAACATTTCCCATTCCTGTGACTGAAGACACAAGATTTAATTCCATTAATCAGAATGTATTGTTCACAGATGCTTAAAATATACAACATTTGTATAATATGGTATCTTGAGTTTTTCAAGATATGAGAAGTTTCAAATACAGTAGAATAAGTACAACCAAATGTAACATGCGTTCTAAGTTTTTCCTTTTGTTTTCTACCTTCAGTTAACTGAAAACGTATTTGTACAAAGATGTGTTTGAATAACAGTTCAGATAATGCTGATTGAATCTCACACAATATCTGTTGTAGTATTGGTAACTGCCCTTTTGCCAGAGCAGTATATTAAATAAATAAAAATGCATTCACATTAAATGATTAAACGTCAATCTGGTTTGTAACCAGTTTGTTTTCCTCCAGGCTCTGTATAGAGAAACCTTGCTTGTGAATTTCTTTTTAGTACTTTCTGTATTTATTGGATTTAATTTAATGGATCCCCAAGGGCTTATTTATTGTCTATCCCTCCTTCCTGATACAGGTGAGAGATGCTAATGAGTCCCTCTGAGCAGTCCCTTGGCCAAATTGTTCCAGGAGGACAAAAAAGAAACAGATCATTTTTCTTCACCAACAGATGATCACTGTTGCTAAAGTATAGAGAGAGCAACCCATATCATATATTTGTTCTGGGGGTTACATCTCACAGATTTGTTTGGCTGAGACAATATTCAGTTTTGTATCTGCCCACATACACAAGAACAAAATGCCTTAATAGGTGAGTCAGAAATGTCAGGTGCACATCCATACTTACAGTTTGATGTCCCCTACTGGATTCTGGATTTCGCATGTTACATTGTTAGTATGTCTTGCATGAACATATTCGTAAAATTCCGTTCATGTTAATTGCAATTATTCTCCAGGAATCAGATGTCCAGGACTACATACATTCTAGTGTGTTGGACTCATAATCTCTCATAATCTCTAACCAGCATGAGCAGCCTGGCACGGAATATGTAAACTGATTGAAATCAGTGGGCTGAGTCATATCTTAACTGTATCTTACATGTCAAATTAATATGCTGCCTTTCCACTAAAAATAATACTCAAAAGTTGGCTAATATTAAAATGTGCAAACATTACATCATAAAAACATAAAAATACATAAGAAAAAAAAACCCATTACTTACCAGATTACAATGTCACATGATTTCACAGTCATGATCATAAGGGCTATAGTTCTGCTTTACTATAGAATGTAGAAGCCAAACTTAGTAGCAAATTGTATATTATCATTACTTGACTTTCTATATTATTATGAGTGTTTAGTTGGTTTTGTTGATCATTACTTATCATGAATGTTTTAGCTGTTGATTTATGATTATGATTATAACGCACCAGGAGTCACTGGGACATTAGATGGTATACAAATGGAATGAATGAATGAATGAATGAATGAATGAATGAATGAATGAATGAATGAATGAATGAATGATATTTGTATCATGAAGCTGCAAAATTGTGAAATTACATTAATTTTAATGGTGGCTCAGTATTCATGATATTGTCTCTATAGGTTTGTTATCATGGTATGCCGTTTTGCATGACATTTCTGCTGTATGCACTTTTAAGGACATTGCAGACCCAGATCAGATCTTTATCCTAATATTCTACTTATCTCTTTGGGGTCAGTGCCTTTGCTTTGATCATCTAGGTTCTTGTTCAGTCATCCTCCTCAGGCAATTCCAGTGTCCTTGGACTGAGATCCCCCATTTTATTGGCATTAATCACAGAATAATTTTAATATGGGGTAAACCGAATAAAGTTGAAATGGAGAAGAGACTCTTACCTCTCTTTCCTTAATGAAAGAGGTATGGGAGATGGTCAAGGGCTCTTTCTAACAAGATTGTAGATAAGATATCCTAACTTCATTAGATACTTGCCTTGGGAATGAATAATAATAATAAAAAAAAACCTGACAGGATAATTTTAAAATAGCTGAACCTTCTTTTTAACAAGAGAAATAAGTGGGAAAGTAATTGGCCAACTAAGGAATACTTAAGAAGCCAGCAGGGACAGCTTCCTGAAATAGATTCGTGGTGTTTCCATATCATATATTAATTGGCATCAGATGACTTGGAAAGCCATAAAAACCAGGATGGGGGGGAGGTGGCAAGTCATTACAAATTATGGAGATCCTGGTTCTTCTGATTTTATTTTTTTTAAAAAGTGTTTTTACAGACCAAAATGGCAGTGGTCTTAGTGATAAAGTATAAAACTGTATTCATTTCTTCAGAGTAAAGGTTTAAAAACTAGGTGCTTTGGTGTTCCAAGAAGCTTTAATGTTACATCTTTATTATTTTTTTAGGTTTTTTTCCCATCTAAGGATGAACTTTTTGTATGCTCTGTTGAAGTGAATCACTTCGCATAATCTCCTGCTTCCCCATCTTTGCTTGAATTCTTTTTCTTTCTATCATTACATTGAATGTATTAAATTCTCCACTGATTACTAACTGTTGCTTATTTGATTGGCTTATATTTTATTAGCCTCAGATATTTTGAGGGGATGAATTCCTTATAATTGTCAACTGTGTGTTGTTTGATTGCCGTACATACTGTACATCTCAAATATTATTTAATCAATTGTATTGATTGGTTATTAATTATAGTTTCAATATTGGGCTTCCAGAATGCATAAACCCGTTTAATGACCTACAGTATAATATTATGGTCCCAATGGCACCGTTGGAGTCTTTAGCTCTACATGCAGCTGTCCTCTATTAAAAGGGCTATCCAGCCTGCATAACTTTAGGATTAAAAAAAGCATAAGGGGGAGAAGACTTTGTCTATAAGACGTAACTCCGAAGAGGCAACTTCATTCAGACCCAGGGCCGTATGTGGCTGTGAGCAGTTCTACATCCTGAAATAATGGCAGGAGCAGAAGAAAAAGATGACCACATCTAGGACAGAAGCTATACGTGTTAATTTAGTTGCCACATTTAAAAAGAGCTGGGGGGGCAAGACCCCAGGGATTAGGAAAGTGTATACTGTACCCGATGCTTGATGTTAGGTTGGGCACCCGTGATAGGGCACCTTGTCAGATGTTTTGCTGCTCTGTGAGGTCAGTGCAAACGAGCACGTTTCTGTATCTGTGCTTGCTTTTGTCCTTTATGGATAAGTGCTCAGCCTAACCAGGAACTCTCACTGATGTGGGGAAGAGATTGTCCTGATGGGAAATCTCTTCTCATTGACCTATTCACAAGACCTCAAAGGAAAACATCCTCTTACAGTCTTTCCAGCCTAAGGTTGTTAAAGTGGTGGCTCAGCTCTTTCCTCCCCTGTTTGTTTGAACAGCATATACTGCTGGTCTGAGCCCTGAGAGGCTTAATTAAATGTGTTAATTCTGCAGCCTCCTGCTGCAATTTGTCAAGTAGCTCTGTTTTAACTCTCACAACCCTATGGTCCGAGAAAGAGTGTCTGGGGAGACAGAAATGCTCCATTGATTTCTGAAGGTTTCCAGTGTAATATCCTGATTGGTTTGCTTTTATTTTCTCAGCATAGGACTGGCCCACTTGCTACATAAAGCACTGCTGGGGATTCCTTGGTAATGGTAGCATACAAAGCATTCTCTGGCACAACTGGAAATGTGTTTCATTCTGTATCTGGGCCCAGAAGTAAAGGGAAAGAATCCCTCAAGCCAAGCTCGGATCCTGTGGACTACCTAGATCTGTCCATCTAGGCATCTTGGCAATAGTACGCAGTTTTACACTGCCGCCTTTTTTGACGTGTGGGATTACCCTTTCAAATACTAACCAGGTCCTGTCTCTGCTCAGCTTTTTTCAATACTTCACCTTGGTAAAGTATTCCAGTTATAAGGAGATCCTGCTAAAAAAGTCTTTTTACCAAGCCACTTCTAGATCTAATTTTGGATGGGCCTAATCCCTTAGCTACTGTTTTCAGAAGGGATGGGAAGAGGGATCAAGGCCCTGACTGGAGAGACGGTAAGTAGTTTGTGGATTTTGCCAAAGGTTCCCCATCTCCCGTATCCACTATAATGAGTGCACTCATAGAAAATAAGGGTGCCAGAGATGTGATGGCTCTCTGCAAGGGATGGGTAGAAAGAGATTAGGAGTGCCTAGTTGTTCCCTAGGTGAGATGCAACGGATTGGCATGGGCAAAGGCAGTCACTGGATTGTAGAATCTTTGTCTTCTTGATTTGCAAAGAGTGGAATACTGAATCCACTGCTTTCAGCAAGCAAATCCCCCCTTTCCATCGCTGAGAAGGACATAGCTGCAGAGCTAGACTTTTCACTGGCAAGCGTCACTGGGCCCTGCCTCAGTTTCTGTTTTCAGTATAAACCTCTGGTTTCACGAGTGAAGGGGAGTCTGGCTTGTGCAGAGAAGCCTACTTGAAGAGCAGCACCACTGGCTACCTGAGGACCAAAGTGATAGCACAAAGGACCTGAAGTCGCCTGAGCTAAAGTCAGCCCCCCCTCCGCTCCCAAGGTGTTGATATGCTCAGGCTGCCTTCTTCTAGTAAATAACAGCGGTGGCACAAAGCTTATCCTGATAACTTGCAGAAGAGGCCAGGAGAACGCAGAGCCAACTAGTGAACAAGAAAAAAATCAGGAATCGGACCTTCTACTAAAAGCAGCTCTGTGTCTCCCTCTTGAAAGATATGTGGGAATAGCAGCAAGGCAATGACACTTTCATTCTGATAATCTTGTTTGGGCTGCCTTGTTTCACCTTGGCTCCGAGCAGTTATTGAGATCAATTGGACCAGAATGCTGCAAGAGCTGACTGTGCTTTCTTCTTCGACTCAGAATATCACCAAGCAGGCATCTGTTTCCTGCTTCTATTGTTCCAGTATTTCAGTAGATAGGATATTAGATATGTTCAAACTCCCACCCCTGTAACAAATCAAGAATCCCCGTTCTCTTCCTTGCATGTTGGGATCCCTCTAGAGATTCTTTTCAGCATGTAACCATCCTGTCTTTTTCACAGAATGTTAGGGGGCATCCAGATGTAATGGCTTTCATCTCATTTCCCCCCACATTTTACTTCTCACCAAAATAATAAAAATAATATCCATTATGGGGGGGAAAGCAGAATAATTTTGGATTGGCAGCACAAGGAGATTTACATCTGAAAGGAACCTTGGCCAGTTAGAACACCCACCTTGGGCAAGGCAAGATGGATTCTTCTCCATCATTCAGTGACATGACATCCTTCCAGAAAACAGCTATAATTTAGTCTGGATGGTACAGTGGAAATGTATAATCTTTACATGCATGCCAAATTGTCCTCCCATAGCATAGAGGTTGCTTGGTATTCATCTTTCTCAATAATAATATATACTGAGAAGAAATAAAAATGTATTCATAGCAATAAAAATAATAATTAAATGAAGAGCAATAAGGAGCTCTTGTGTAACATCAACCATCAGTTGACTAAGGTGGCCACATCTCCCTGCTAATCAGTATGGCTGGAGATGGCGGTGGCTTCTTTTTGCATCTGCCTGTTTTTTAAGATAATCTTCCAATACTTACTCTAACAAATATAGCCTTCTAAGGCAATTTAGGTAGGAGCTAACCATGGGCATAGGATCTTTTCAGTGTGGGTGCTGGTTTTTAGGGCTATCTTCTGTTAAGATATTAAGTGCTCTCTTGTTAATATAAGTTAATTTTTGTGAGCTTTCTGGGGTTAAGTAACATTGATCTAGAGCAGTATTTCTCAACCTTGGCAAGTTTAAGATGTGTGGACCAACTCCCAGGATGCTGGCTGGGGAATTCTGGGAGTGGAAGCCCACACAACTTAAACTTGCCAAAGTTGAGAAACTACTGGCCTAGAGGATTTTGCAAGTTTTTTTTCACTCAACTTTTTGTGCTTCAAGTTTAATTATTTTAAAGTTTGCAGGACACCTTGGCAGATGGAAATCAATATCCTTTCAAGTTAAAAAATCCCAAGCACAACAAAGAAGGGATGGAATGTAACATTGAAACAGTTATCAGAAGGGAATCACAGAGAATCGTGTACAGTTCAGTTCCAGAAACCAAGAAGTCTAGTTTTAAGAAATCTTGCCATCAGTCAGGGTTCATGTCCATCCAGGAAATTTCATCAGATAACAGATGGTAGCATGAGCTGATAAGAGGACAAAGCAAGGGAGGAGAAATGAAAACAGAAAAGTGATATGCCAAACGGACAGGAAAGGAACATATGAAGGTTTAAGGTCAGGGATAAAGGATCTGAACAGCCCACTCTGAAAGATATAAGCAGCTTCCTGCAGTTGAGAAAACTGTCCTTCCATTTTACCTGGTAAACGTAAACTGCAAAGATTTTAAAGAAAGATTTTAAGAAATTGATTTTATGCAAATTGCAGCATGGAGGAGTCTTTTCCACTACTTTGGGGAGGGAGACAACTGGCAAGGAGAAAGCCTGGAGGGGCCTCTTTCTTTATGCAGGCAACATTAATGATTTTATCACAAGTCTTATAATACTTGGTGGTATTTTTAAGCCACTGCTGCTGAGAACAAATGCTTAGATTTAAAAAATCAGATTTTTTATTTTTCCTTTTTAAAAAAGATTGGGAAGAATTTAAAAGTCTGTGCATGTGCTTAAAAAAACAAAAATGTATCAGTAAAACAGAACAATGATAAGGCTTTAAAAATATTTCCTAATAGAAACTAAGATTCTACAAGTCAGAAAGAAGAAACTGAAAAATAGCTGATCCCAGCTGACTGTTTCCTGACTAAAATTTGGCTAGACTAAGAGGAAGTTTAAAGTTTCAGTCTTAGAACACAAGGGAATAAGCAAAATTGAAAAGAGTAGAGCTTACTAGCATATAAGCTTGGACATTTTGAAACAGACACCCAAAAAAGCATACACTATACTAAACTCTAATGTGATTTGCTTTTTGTGACTTAATATGTTGTGTGAATCCACCCAAATATGGTTTATTAAATCATAGTTAAACCCTACCTTACTGTTGTGCATGAGCTTACCATTGGCTACAACGGTCTGTAGCTGGTGCTCTTTCAGCACTCTTTTACTCTGAAATGGCACAGTGAAAATGGACCTATTTCAGTGTTGTCCAAACTTGGCCACTTTAAGATGAGTGGACTTCAACTCCCAGAA